CTTTGTAATTATTAGTTGGAATATTCCTGTTAAGATAACCAGGAGCTTGGGAACTTAAAGTACTAATATCCTCAAATTCTGTAACCATCTTCAGTGAAGATTCTTCCTCACCTGTGTTAGAAATGCTATGGTGGGGTGAAGCCTCCCCCTGAAGCAGCTGAGTCAGGTCTGAGTTTGAGTGTGAGTCACCCCGTGGGATTTTTTCCAGGCCACCAGCCAAAGATCCAGGTTTTGTTGGTCAATGTTGGGGTCACAGGTTCTGAGTTTCTGAATGACCCTATCCCTATGTTTGTCTTGTAGTGCAAAGAAAGGAGGTACAGGCCCGAGCGGTGTTCTACCCCCTCTTAGGGTTGGGAGGAGCTGTGAACATGTGCTATCGAACCCTCTACATCGGGACAGGTGAGCCCGCCAGGAGCCTGGGAGGGCCCTGATCTTCAGCCTGAAGATGGACACTCACAGGGCCCTTTCAGAGCTTGATGGATCTAACCATTGCTTGTCCAGACAGGAGAGACTAAGAACCTAGACAATCCAATGGGGTCCTTCCTTGGCTCAGGCCTTTGGTTTTAACTGCTTCTTAGTAGGGTCTAAAACACTGTAGGCAAAGGCTTGGAAAGAGGACACTTCTTACACCTAGGTTTAATAGGCTCACACACAACCTTCCTTCATTTGTTTGTTTGTTTTATTTCTGGTCGTTCAGATGATTTCAGAGCATCTGTAGTTCAGGCTGGTTGAGTGGGGAGGTGTAGCCTGCCACCCCTCAGACCACCCCTTACCCTAGAAATTGCCCTTTAAAGTCTTAAAGGCCCTGCACTTGTGTTCACGTGATGAATCGAGCTTTTCAGTAACGCACTGCACTGTCTGGGTAAGCAGCCATATATTCTAAAGCAGATTAGCTTTAGAACAACAAGGGGTAAGGCTGGGCTTGGGGACACATCTGTAATCTCAGTACTTATGAAATGGAGGCAAGGAGGTCAGGAGTTCAGGCTAGCCCAATACCAGAAAAGGAAAAGAAAGAAAAGAGGCTCAGCTCCCTTGAGATTCTGCTAGCAGCCACCCAAAAGCTAACAACCCTCTCTTCCACTTCCCCACACATACACCTTACAGTTTGTTCTCTGCCTTTTCCTTGACTCCTGCCACCTTGCAGGAGCTGACATGGATGTGTGCCTTACAAACTATGGTCACTGTAACTACGTGTCCGGGAAACATGCCTGCATATTCTACGATGAGGTGAGGGGTGGAGCTGGGTGGGAGGGAACTTTTCCAAGGTCTTTCACCAGAACTGGGTTCTGGGCTCAGGCAGGAGCAAGGGTGAAAGGCCTGTCCCCTTTCCTCCTGCCCAACTTGAAAGGGAAGACTCAGTATGAAAGGCCTGGCGTTCTTCTACCGTGGCATCTGCTTACAGAAGCAGCTATCACTGCAACTGATGCTGCTCACAGAAGCAGCTGAGAGGCTCACCTCAAAGTAAGGGAAGGGACCAAAATAGAAGGAAACCAAGCTCTATGGATGTGACCCTGAGTTTCATAATAGTGTGCCATAATTATGTGGCTATCAGATGAACCGGAGCCAGTGCTGAGGAGGGAGAGGGAAAATGGAGTCACTAGGGCAGACTTTGATGAAGTGTAGAGTCTTGGTGGACTCCGAAAGAGCCAGGCTGTAACTGAGGAAGAGTGTGAGAGCTTGCTAGGTAGTGCAGCAAGCCCTATATCCTCTCCCCTTTTCCCAAGGCTTCATACAGCAACCACATCGTATCTCCCCTCCTCCTCCTCCTCCTCCTCCTCAGAATACCAAACATTATGAGCTGTTAAACTACAGTGAGCACGGGACAACGGTGGACAATGTGCTGTACTCATGTGACTTCTCTGAGAAGACCCCGCCAACCCCCCCAAGCAGTATTGTTGCCAAAGTGCAGAGTGTCATCAGTAAGTTGGAGCGGAGGCCTGTGGCCACAGCTAAGGCCCCCATCACCTTGGTTCTGCCATGCTGTCAGTGACCTACAGTTTTTTGCCTTCCCAGTCCCATTGGCCAAGCTCATTGTTGGTGGGCCTGGGAGAGGCCACCAAGAATCAAGTGCTGAACACCCACATATGTATCAGACCTTTCTGGGGACTTGAGACTCCACCAGCCCCATCCGAGCATCCCTCAGCCCTGGTCATATAGCGTATAGAATGGGGAGATGCAGGGACCCGGTCCTGCCAATCGTCCTAGACAGGTCAGCTCTTCACCTTTCCCCTCCTATGATCATCCCCCTTTTTCCCAGGGCGCCGCCGACACCAGAAACAGGATGAAGAGCCAAGTGAGGAGGCAGCCATGATGAGTTCCCAGGCCCAGGGGCCACAGCGGAGACCCTGCAGTTGCAAAGCCAGCAGCTCGAGCTTGATCGGGGGCAGTGGGGCCGGCTGGGAAGGCACAGCCTTACTGCACCACGGCAGCTACGTCAAGCTGGGCTGCCTGCAGTTTGTCTTCAGCATCACTGAGTTTGCGACCAGACAGCCCAAAGGTGATGCCAGCCTGCTGCAGGGTGGGGTCTTGGCCGAGAAGCTATCTCTCAAGCCCCATCAGGGCCCTGTGCTGCGCTCCAACTCCGTTCCCTAGGCCATTGGCCTGGACACTCACCCAAGACTCCTGCAATGCAAAAATGTACACGAACCAAGCCCGGGTGTTTTCTATACCAGAAACCCTTCAACTACAATCTTTGCATGAAATGAAGAAAAACTTTTGACTTTTTTAAGACTTTTTTTTTTCTTTTCTCAAGTTCTAGGGGGCATTTGCACATATATTTGTACTCAACATTTCATGGGAAAGCGGCAGACCCGAGCTGAGGAACAGCATGGGCAGGGAGGGGAAGACCCTGGTCTGGATACTTCTTCCAGCACAACCCTTCTCCCCGCCTCCTGATCCTTCTTCCTCGACCGCCTGCCCGCTGTTGTAAAATAATCAGAAACTTGTTCTATTTTGTGGCAGTGACAATAGTTTTATATTAAAAGAAAAAATACAGTTTTCATACAGCAAAATCTATACAATATCATTGTTTTATTTAATATAAAGATCGCTACCCACTTTTTCCCAGGTTCCCGCCCGACAAGTTGCTTTCCCCTTCTGCAGCGGTTGCACTACAGGTAGCTACTGTGTATATGGACAAAGGAGAAATGCATTCTCTTTTCTGGCTGTCCATCTATTTTATTTCAAATAAGGAAAAGTGTATTTGGATTTTGTGTAAATACATCTAGTGATGACATTTTTTTCAATGTTTTTAAAAACTGTGTACAGTACATGTGGTAGAGTGTTTTTCTCAAATTGTCTATTGTAGCAAAGGCGTTTTTGTCGTAAACCTGTTCTGTGTCCTTTTTTTGTTCTCTTGCCACTTCTCTTCCTCCTCACCCCAGCTACTTCCTCTTCCCCACACTAGTACCAATGTACATAGTAATTGTAATGTTTTAGACTTTACAGAAACTTTCCTGTATTCTGTATATAAAAAACCAAAAATACTTCAAACTATGTTTTCTGCCTGTCTGTCCTACCTGTCATCACCCTTAGACGGAGGGCCTGTCCTGGGATCTCACTTTTTGCACCCTTTGAAAAATTATTAATCTCAAGTACTCTCCAACGGAAACTTAACAGAGAGGGAAGATGTTAGAGACTTGACTTGAGCCTATGCTGGGTGAGGGAAATAGAAAGGTAAGTACTTGCCTTTTGGGGAATGCTGTTTCTCTAGAGAGCCCTAACATGGTAAAATCCATTCTCTAGACAAGTGGTTCTCAACTTTCCTAGTCATGGCCCTTTACCACAGTTCGTTGCTACTTAACTGATTTTGCTACTGTTACGAGTTGTAAATACCTGATGTTCAGGATACCTGTTGCGAGGCTTCTGTGAAAGGGTCATTCGACCACCACCCCTGAGGGGTGCGGGCACCCAGAGGTTGAGAGCGGCTGCTCTTAGCGGAGCTTGAATAACTTCATTGCTGTCCTCATCAGGAAACACTGATGTGTTGCCCTAATTCTAATTCCCTGGGCATCCGTGCCAATCCAGACTCCCTGCTTTCATCCCGGAGATGGTAGAGAGAAGATTCTTCAGTTGTGGCACTGTTCTGGGTGGTACCTATATTAGCGTCTGTTGGTGGATGGGGCTAGAGGAGGAGTTATACACCCACAGCATCTGAAAATGCTCCAGCGACACAGTGCAGATAAAGAAGGAGTTTATCCTGGCTCCCGAATACAGGCATAGCCATGTCCCTGCTACTCTGCTTGCTGTTAACAGGAAGATGTGGGTTGGAGATGGAGATGCATTCCCTGTAATGCCCACTTTTTTGGAGGTTGAGGCCAGCCTAGGCTACCTAGGGAAACTACCTCAAAAACCAAGAGAGAAAGGTCATGGGGTCAAGAAATCACAGGGTTGAATCAGGACAGCCCTGTCGGTGTCATCGTGAGAAGCCTGTTCCAGGAAGAGTCCTAGAAGTGGAGAGCTGGATAATGAAAGGATGAGAAATTAAAGAGCCGCTTCATTGAGGGAAAGGCATCTGGGACCCGACTGCAAACACACGGACCCATTCATGTACACAGGACTCCAGACTGAGACTGTTACATATTCACACCTAGCGTAAACAGAGATGTTCATTGAATCACGCGCGTTGGTGGAAACCACAGATGCATGCACAGTCTGGAGGGACTCCCGCCGTGAGCACAGACACCTACGCAGTGCTCTCACCCCGGCGCCAGCCCAGAATCCAGAAGCCCGCCCAAATCCTGAGCTGTGCTCTTAGGGCCCTGGGCACGCACACACCCACCAGCCCCTCCTGCGGATGTTTCCTGTACATGCCTGCCTGGCACACGCTCCCGGGCGTTCGCGAGCCTAGGGGGCGCTCCCGGGGCCTCCAAGGTGTTCCACTAGGCACGTCGCCAGGGTGCGCAGACGCGCGCCTAGGGGGCGCTCGCAGAGCCCACGCGTGCGCGCACGCCCCTGCCCAGCCTGCCGCCGCCCTCGAGAGGCCGAGGCGGGAGCGGCGGGGCCCGGGCGGGAGCACGGCCGGCATGGAGACGCTGCTGCTGGGCGCCGGGCTGCTGCTGGGCGCCTACGTGCTTATCTACTACAACCTGGTGAAGGCCCCGCGGTGCGGCGGCATCGGCAGCATGCGGGGCCGCACGGCCGTGGTCACGGGTGAGTGCGCGCGGGCGGGCGGGCGGCGGGGAGGCCGGGCGGTAGCCGCGGCCCGACCGGCTCAGCTGGCTCCCGCCCGCCGCCCGCAGGCGCCAACAGCGGCATCGGGAAGATGACAGCGCTGGAGCTGGCGCGCCGCGGGGCGCGCGTGGTGCTGGCCTGCCGCAGCCGGGAGCGCGGGGAGGCGGCCGCCTTCGACCTCCGCCAGGTGAGGCCCGAGGGGGACGAGGGGCGCGGGTGAGCCCGGGACACGGAGGGCGGAGCAGAGCGACGCGAAGAGTCAAGATCTGAGAGGAGAGAGCACCACTGTCCCTTAAGCGCTGAGGAGGGTGCAGGGACTACTGTGGACCCACAGGGGAGGAACCTCAGAACCAAATTCCGGATGAGGCTTTCTGAAGAAAGGAGTCGCTAATATCGAGAGGTGTAAGAATCCGAAAGGAGCTCAGGGCCATCCTGGGCAAAGGAAAGACAAGGAAGGAAGGGTTAGGCTAAATGAAGAGATGCAGAAAGAACAGCAGGTGCAAAGAGAAAAGAGAATCTAATTCGAGAGACAGGGGGCGGGGGATGAAGCAGGGAATGGGAAGAGGAATGTCCTGAAGGGGCGCTGAGCCACAGCCAGCTTCTAAGCAGGCCTTACAGATCCCGTTGAGGTGTTTAAGACAGCTGAGCTCAGAGAAGGCGTCAGCAGGCTCTGAACCGTCCCGGTGGCTTTTGCGAGTGAATTACTTAGAGCTGTGTGGCGCCTCGACCGCAGAAGACAAGAGTAAGAGGGTCAGTCTCACTAGCACACCTTTAATCCTAGCACTTGAGTGGCAGAGATGTGGATTTCTGTGAGTTCAAGATGTGGATTTGGGCTACCTCGGAACTTCAGGCCAGCCAGGGCTACATCGGAAGACCCCGACTCAAAGAAAAAAAAAAAACAAAAAAACAAAGTACTTAAGACCAAAGTCTCTTAAGAAGTTTGGTACAGCTGGTCATGGTGGTGCACACCTGTAGTTCCAACCCTGAAGAGGCTGAGGAAGGAAGATCGTGAGTTCCAGGGTAGTCTGGGCTACAGAACAAGACGCTGTCTACAACAGGTGAAAGGCTGTAATAGAGCTTAAGGTAAATGATAATGGCGAGAAGGGACAATGATATGTGTAGTAACTGTAGCTCGGGCAGGCCTTGAACTCATGATCCTTTGCCTCAGACTCCTGAGAAGCTAGGGTAGCCGGTGTGTGCCAGTACACCAGACATGCATATATTTTACCTCACAACTCCTTTTCATCCTCACAACTCCTTTTCTTTTTAGCAGAAAGTACTAATGTTGTTGTTGTTATCTCATCTTACAGTAAGAAAACAGGCCCAAGGAGATTAAGTATCATGTCTGAAGACACTCTAGTTAGAGGCAAAGTCAAGATTTGAATCCGCATACCCATTACTCTCCGGTGCATAGAGGCAGTGGGTAGGCGCTCAGATGCCTGGGAAGAGGGAGGAGGGAGCTGCCCGGTAACAATCCTAGCCCTTGCTGCTCCACAGGCGAGTGGAAACAATGAGGTCATCTTCATGGCCTTGGATTTGGCCAGCCTGGCCTCTGTGCAGGCCTTTGCCACGGCCTTCCTGAGCTCTGAGCCAAGGCTGGACATCCTCGTTCACAACGCAGGTGAGAAGCAGCAGGCCCTGCAGGAGGGTGGCCGGTAACCTGGAGAGGGAGTCCCTCCAGCTGGGCCCTTCTGGGGCCAGCAGACACATCACACACATGAGGATTCTGAGACCCGAGGGGCACCTGAAACAGCAACTCATGCCTGGCCTCTGCCCTAGGGATCAGTTCCTGTGGCCGGACTCGGGAGGCCTTTAACCTGCTGCTGCGGGTCAACCATGTTGGCCCTTTTCTGCTGACACACTTGCTGCTACCCCGCCTGAGGTCGTGTGCCCCCAGCCGTGTGGTAGTTGTGTCCTCAGCTGCCCACCGGCGTGGTCGTCTCGACTTCACACGTCTGGACTGCCCAGTGGTGGGCTGGAGACAGGAGCTTCGGGCATACGCTGACAGCAAACTAGCCAATGTGCTGTTTGTCCGGGAGCTTGCCACCCAGCTTGAGGGCACTGGTGTCACCTGCTATGCAGCCCACCCAGGTGAGGCCTGACTCTTGACTGGTCTTGATTGCCTCTCTAGCATCTTTGTGCCTTGCTGTGCTCCCCAGGTCTCCTGAGGAGCCACGGGATGGAAACATGGTCAAGGAGAAACCTGTTTCTTGCTGATCCTGGGGCCAAATGTTCTCTCCTCGTCTGTTTTCTTTCTTTCTCACCTGCAAGCCTGCATGCTGACCCCTGAGTGGAGGATAAAACAAGACACTGATGATAAATACTGAAGGCTGGGGCTGTAGTTCATTGGCAGAACAAATGCCTTCCTATAGGCAAGACCCCGAGTTTGCGCTGTTTGCTTCCTTACTTGGGTTTGGGATGTTTGTTTGTTTGGTTAGTTTTGAGACTGCATTTTACTGTGTAGACTAGGCTTGCTATATAGACCAGGCTGGCCTCAAACACCCAGAGACCTGTCGGCTTCTACCTTCAGAGTGCTAGGATCAAAGGTGTGGGACACCACTCCTGACTTTGTTTTTTTTCCAGGTTTGTTTTATTTTTTTAATGTGTGTGTATTAGTATTTTGCCTGCCTGTGTGTGTCTGGCCAGATCCCCTAGAACTGAGGTTAGATGGCTGTGAGTTTCCATGTGGGTGCTAAAAACCAACCAGGGTCCTCTACAAGAGCAGCAAGTGCTCTTAACCACTGAGCTGTCTCTCTAGCCCCTGGTGTGTTGGGGTTCGTTTTGTTTTTTGAAACACAGTTTTACCCTGGAGCACAGGTTGGCGTGGAAGTCTGTGTAGCTCAGTCAAGCCTCAAATTTGCTCCAATCTTCTTGCCTCATGCTTTGATTTCTGGCGTAAGTCACCATGGTAAATAATAGCATCCAGTCACAGAGCTCTTCCTCTGTGAGTACCTACTACACCATAGGCGTGACTGATGGTGCTGGGCCAAAAGCAATGAGACAACCTTGCTCTGGAGTTCTTGGGCTCAGTCTCCAGGACCTAAAAATTATGCAAAGGAAAACAAAGGCCTGTCAGTCAGGTGTGGCTGCACATGTTTAATCCCAGCAGCCAGGGCTACCTAGTCAGACCCTGTGTGTCTGAAAAAGAAAAAAAGACAAAACAAAAGCCAAAGACCTTACCCTTATATCCAATGACAAGTGGTAAGGAGGATCTAGAGCTCTCAAGTGATATTTTGTCTAGTCAGTGGCGGTCAGGGAAGACATTTGAAAAGGTAAGAATTGAACACAGACCTGGAGGCTCAGGAAGTGAATAGCAGGCACATTCCTGGTGTGCTATAGAACAGCTGGCGTGACTAGAAGAGAGGAGGAAGATGATGGCCAAAGATTCGGCTGTAGGGATGGGCCAAGCTGGAGCTTGAAGTTTCAGTTAAGCTTTTACTCTGAGTAAAATAACTGGTTAAATGCCAGGTGGTGGTGGCACAGACCTTTAATCCCAGCACTTGGGAGGCAGAAGCAGGCGGATCTCTATGAGTTGGAGGCCAGCCTGGTCTACATAGTGAGTTCCAAGATAGCCAGGGCTATACAGAAAAACCTTGTTTCAAGATAGAATAATAATAATGATTTTTAAAAAGAGAGTAAATCATCCTGTCTTTAAACAATAGGTTACAATAGGCAAGCAACATCTACCCTGCCTAGGTCATCATGTTGTACTTTAGAAAACTATTGCCTGGGGCTTCTTTTTAATTACAGCAACAATAATTCTACTAACCTTTATTAAGCTTTTGTTACAATTAGAGATCCGTAGTATTAAAACACTGTGGCTAATATACCTTCGATGCTTAAAAAAAAAAAAAGACTGAACAAAGGAATGGGGCTGAAAAGAATGGTATGAATTGGGCACTGTGGCTTACACTGATAATCTCAGTAGGAAGCTGAGGAGTATTGCTGTGAGTTCAAGGCCAGGCTGGACTGTAGAGCAGTGAGATTCTTTCTCAAAAGGAAAGGAGAGGACAGTGGCATAGCTCAGTTGGTAGAGTGCCTGCCAGCATGTACACAGCCCTGGGTGCAAATTCCCAGCACCAAAAAAAAAAAAAAAGATAAAGGAATGATAGAGATTGGACAGCAGAGAACACAGCATAACCACAACCTGGGGGATGGGAACATACAAGCCATTGGGCTGGTGGCTTCCTAATGGGTTAAGTCACCTTGTGGGCCCCCTGAACACCTGGTAGATACTTACTTGCTTCCCCTGGAACCAGATTCTGTGGTCCACTCCTAGTTTCTGGGTCCCGACTGCCTTCCTCCACAACTCTTCTTCCTTCCTGCCGACAGGACCCGTGAACTCGGAGCTCTTCCTGCGTCACCTCCCTGGATGGGTATGTCCTATTTTGCGCCCACTGGCTTGGCTGGTTCTCCGGTCACCTCAAGGGGGAGCCCAGACACCCCTGTACTGCGCTCTGCAGGAGGGCATTGAGCCCCTCAGTGGAAGATATTTTGCCAACTGCCATGTAGAGGAGGTCTCCGCAGCTGCCAGAGATGACCAGGCTGCCCACAGGCTGTGGAAAGCTACCAAGAAGCTGGCAGGGCTTGGACCTGGAGAGGATGATGACCCTGATGAAGAGCCCCAACCTCAGGATCCAGGGACCCCATCTGCTATGAGGCCCCCAGGCCCTGAGAAAACCAGAGTTTCTGGACATTCTCGTAGCTATCCGGGCTCACCAGACTTATCCAAATTGACACAGCGAAGAATTCAGGTGAAGGCTGAACCTACACCCTCATTTTCATAACCTCCAGGCTAGAATGCTTTTTGTAGCACTGTGGGACCCCCCAAAACCTCAGTAGTGTGTCTGGGCACTGAGGGGTCGCCACTTTTACTTCAGTTGTTACTTTTGGGAACCTCTTGTTGTATCCTAAGCCCTTTTCCTAGTGAAAGGAAATGAATACTACTTCCTAAGACCGACAGTAACCCCAGATCCAGGGATGATATGTCAGACACTGTGTTGCTCTGGAATTTGATTTTCAGATTTCTGGGCCCTCCCCTCAATAGCGATCCGCTCCCCCGAGATGGGCAGGGGACTTGGTGGTTGATGCAGCTGCCGAGGTTGAACATAACTGAACCCAGCCCTTTGCAACTTTCTAGCTAGGTAGTTAATTTACCCCCGTTTTTACAGAGGCGTAATTAGGAAAGGTCTCAGTAAGGGCAAGTACTGAGCTTTTTGAACCCCGGGGTCCCCCGTTGGGCGGGTGCCCGGGGTGACTCAGCGTAAGGTGTTACCACTGAGGCGCCCGAAGGTGCTCCGGGGCCGAGCCCCCCGGAATAAAGCGCGCTGACTGAGGACGCACTGGCTCCCGCCTCTCTCTACCAGGCGGCCCCGCCTTCCGCCGCACACTTCCGGCGGGGCCGCGGCCGCGGAGGGGCGCAGGCGGGCGGGGCTGGGGGAGGCGGGTTAGGCTGGGCGCGGCCGGCGCTGCGGACCCGCCACAGCCCTCCAGGTCGCTGCGGACCCGAGGCCTGCTAGCCTGCCCGCGGCGCCATGGGCAATTGCCATACGGTGGGGCCCAACGAGGCACTGGTGGTCTCAGGTGAGGGGTGGCGAGGGCAGCGGCGGGGCGGGCAAGTCCGGCCGGGTGCGGGTCCCCGGCCGCACCTGAGCCAGTGCCGGGAGAGCGGGCAGTCCTCCCGTAGCAGCACGGCCTCGGGCGGACTTAGGGGCTTCTAACGTGCGAGGGTTCTCAGCTCTGGAAGGCAGGTGCCTGCCGGGGAGGGCCCCCCGAAGCACGGATCCCGCTTTTCCGGACGAGGCCGACCCGTTAATTCCGAGCAGGCTGCGGCTTGCCAGGACTTACTGGCATCACCCGCCCTGGAAACGCGGGTGCGGCCTCTACAGTTGGGTAATCCTGCTCTGGCCTATACTGCTTTAGATTACAAAATGCCGCAAACTCTAGATTTGGCTAGGCGGGGCTAGGGGATTGTAGCAGTTGTAGCCTTAAAGCTGATATTTATTTACGTGATGTATTTGGGGTGTTTTAGGAGGTAGCTCAAGCCACCAGGGGCCCTGTTGCATGCAAACTTGCAGCTGTAACCCCTTCCCTAGCATCAGCACTGATTTTTAGCTTGTATGCAGAATTCATAAGGCTGGCTGCCAAACAGAGAGCCAGGGCTTATAGCTGCCATTCTTGGGGAGGTGTAATGAATCCACTGTGCCCGAAACATGGCTTTAGGTCTTGTTTGGATCTCAAAATGGATCTCTTTACTGAGACATCCTCACAGTCCCCGACCAGGACCCCGCTAAAGTGGGAGAAATAAGATACCCATCTCATTGAAGACCAGAAGTCTAGGGGTCAGAGAGGAAAGCACGGAGGCCAACTTTGGCGTCCTAAAGCCCAGGCTTGTCTCCCTCTTCGACGAAAACTAAAAATGGTTTTTGGAGCCATACAGTGGTTTGGGTGTCCGTTTGTTGTTGTTGTTTGGTTGGGTTTGTTGTTGTTGTTGTTGTTTTGGCGGGGTGGGGGGAAGTGTTTGTTTTTGGTTGTTTGGGGTTTTAAGTGTGTGTGAGTGAGTGTCTGTCTGTCTGTCCGGGAATATGTGTAGGTGAGTACGAGTGTACACAGAGGCCCCAGGTGTTGAATCCCCCTGGAGCTAGAGTTACTGATGGTTGTGAGCCACCTGACATGGATACTAGGAATTGAACTTGGGTCCTCTGGAAGAGCAATGTGTGCTCTTAACCATTGAGCCATCTCTTCAGCCCCTGTGTTTGAGAAAGAGACTTGCTTGGTACCCCTGGCTGGAACTATGTAAACAAGGAGCTTGTAGAGATCTTCTGGCTTGCCTCCCCACTGATGGGATCACAGGCGTGCACCACCACACCCAGCTCGATTTTGTGTGAGTGCTTATGGTGCTGGTTATGGTGCTTATGGTTCCAAACCCTAAGAACTCAACTCATGCCAGTCAGTCACTGTGCCACAGTCCTCAGGCGTAGAAGGATTTCAGACATCGGAGTCTGGGGCTAAGCAGGTGGTTCAGCAGGTAAAGGAGATTACTCCGAGCCTGATGGTCTGAGTACAATCGCCAGGGTCCATGTGTTGTAGGGAATGAACCAAGTGATGAAAGAAGTCTAGACACACATGTACACACACACACACACAATAAATGTTGAAAAAGTTGTTTCAAGCCAGGCGTGTTGGCTTACGCCTGTAATCCCAGCACTTAGGAGGCAGATTCAGGTGGATCTCTGCGAGTTGGAGGATAGCCAGGGTTATATGTAAAGACCCTGTCCAAAAAAAAAAAAAAAAAATGTTTTCAATTAATAAATTAGACCAAAATCTGGGGCTGGGGAAATGGCACAATTAAGAGTACTTGGGTTCAAGTTCCGTCACCCACAAGGCAGCTAACTCCAATCCTAGAGCAAATGCCCTCGTCTGCTGTCTTTAGACACTGAACACATGTAATGCACAGACATACATACAGGCAAAAACCCACACGCAAAAGTAAAATCTCAAAAACAAATTACAAAGAAACAGAACCAAAATCTGCACTGCCCTTTTTCCTGTGGTGTTTCAGGAAGCCCAGACTCCAGGCTGAGGAGGAGACCAAAGCTTGAGTTCAGCCCTGTGGAGAGTTAGGGGCTCCCGAAATGGCCTGTTCTTTGTCCATCTTCTACCTTCTCCGTAGTCTGCTTCTCAGGCCAGAGCCAATTAAGTGCTGGATTGGAAGCTGTTCTGGGCGTGGGGAGAGGAAGTCATGCTGAGAATTAGGGAGCAGCCTAGGAGGTGAGGGCTAGGAAGGCGTAACACCTAATGTAATCGTTCCTTGGGACTTGAGATAATGTGAGATACAGTTCCCTCTTTCGACCAGATCCCCAGGAGAACAGGGCAGAACAGAACAGCTGCCCACACTAGTCTGTGTGTGTCCCTTGGCTCTGCATCTAAGATCAGAGGCACTTAGCCCTGTTTCAGGAGGGAGCTCTTAACTCCAGGCTGTTAATTTCATTTCTCATTGTTGTCCAGCTTCTTCTTTCTATAACATAAAACTATTTTCTCTTTCTGTTTTCAGAAATTGTATTTCTTTTTTTCAGGATTTTTTAAAATTTACTTTTAAATTTATTACAATTTATTCATTTTGTAAACAGCTGTAGCGCCATCCCTAAATTGTATCTCTTTTAGCTGGGGATGTAGCTTAATTGGTAGAATATTGGTGTGCACAGAAGCAAAGCATGTCTCTCATCCTGGCACTTGACAGTGGAGGGGAGGAGCAGGGGATCAGAAGTTCAATGTCATCTACTTATAGAGATGGAGCTACATGAGACCTTGTCTCAAAAAAAAAAAAAAAAAATATTTTCCCACCTTAAAAAACATTTTCAGTACCAGGCAGTGGTTCCAAATGCCTTTAATTCTAGCACTGGGGAGACAGAGAAAGACGGATCGCTGTGAATTGAAGGCCAGCCTGGTCTGCAGAGCAAGCTCCAGGGCAGCCAGGACTCCACAAGGAAACCCTGCCTCATAAAAGAAAAAGAAAGAAAGAATGAAACATTTTAAGAACATGGTATGGTCTTCCACAGGACCGAAGTCCAGTTCCCAGTGTCTGTGGCAGATCAGTTCATACGTATTTGTAACTCCAGGTCCAGGAGATCTGGCACCCTTACACAGACATCCATGCAGACAAAACAGCAGTGTGCATAAAATGTAAATAAGTAAATCAAAGTATCTTTTAAGAAAATGTTTTTTTCAGGAGAGGCTGGGCTATGCCTCTTGCCTAGCACCTATAAGAGTTAGATCTTAGCACTAACACAGTACTGACCACCTGACTGTAATTTCAGCATGCAGTAGGTTGAAGCAAGAGGAGCAGAAAGAAAAAAGGAAACTTTTTGGATTTCGTTTGTTTGAGACAGGATCTCACTATGCAGACCAGGCTGCCGCCAACCCGGAGATCCACCCGCCCCTAAGGGGCTAGGGTTACAGGTATATGCTACCAGCTTAGGGGAAAAAAAATTAAAGGAAAACTCTTTTCATTTGGAAAGGGGGCATATATTTTCTTTTATTTTCACTAACCATAACTGAAAGTTAATTTCCCCTATGACTGCATCAGCCACATGCCAAAATACTACAGATATTTACCTAGCACCCTGCAGTTGCAGACCCCATAAAAGGATATTTATACTTATTTTTGCTTTGAAATTAAGCCAGTGATTATATCCACCACTAAATCTTTTTGTTGTTTTGTTTTTTTGAGACAGGGTTTCTCTGTATGGCCCTGGCTGTCCTTATATTTTTGGTTGTGAGCCTATCCTTTAACGGGTGAGCCATCACTCCAGCCCCCTGGCTGTCCTTACTAGAACTCAAAAGATATATCTGCCTCTGCCTTCCAGGTGCTGGGAATAAAGGCGTGTGTGTGTGTGTGTGTTTTGAGAGAGGGGTCTTTGACTCACTTTGTAAGCCAAGCTGGCCTAAACATAGGAAGATCTCCCTGCCCCTGCCTCCCTGAGTGCTGGGGTTCCAGGCATTCACAACCTCGCCTAGCCGAAAATCTTTTTTAATGTGAATATGTGTTTTACCTACATGTATGCCTATGTATCACATGAGTGCAGTGTCCAGGCGGGGCAGAAGAGGGTGTGTGATTCTCTGGAACTGGAGATGCTGCTGCTGGTAGTGGTTAACCACCATACCGGTGCTGGGAACCGAACCAAGGTCCTCTGCAGGACCTTGAGCACTTGTTGGTGCTCTTGGCCATTGCACCATCTCTCCAGCCCCCATCATTTCGTATGTTAGTAAAGAAATACAGAGCCAGAGCCATAGCAGTGTGTAGACTGCTGGCCCAGCATGCAAAGCCCTAGGTTTGATTCCCAATACTTGTAAGGTGGAGGTAGGAGAATTAGAAGTTCACAGTCATCCTCAGTTACATAGCCAAGTCCAACCTGAGGCTGGAGAAATGGCTCAGCACTTAAGATGGGGTTCCGATTCCTCCTCCAGCCTCTATGGGCTCTGCCCGCATGTGGTACGCAGACATGCATGCAAGCAAAGCACCCACACATGAAAAGCCCAAAGCCAAACGAGGCATCATTACATTCTGCCTTTAAAAGAACTGTTTTCAGCCATGCGGGGCGTGCGGTGGTGCACGCCTGTAATTCCAGCACTCTAGGAGGGAGAGGCAGGCAGATCTGCATGAGTTCAAGGCTACTCTGGTCTACAAAGCCTGTCCAGGACATCAAGGCTACAGAGAGAAACCATGCCTCAAAAAACAAAAACAAAAAAAGCTGTTTTCATATATCACCTATTTGGTTCTAGCATTTTGTTGCCCTTTATAATTTTTTTCTCGGGTATCTGATTTGAGACATTTGTAGACATTTTTATAATGAATTCGCAGATACAGCTGTAATATGAAAATCATTTGTTAAACGGGCATGGTGTTTCACTCCTGTAATCTCAACACTGAGGAGACTCACCACAAGTTCCAGGCCAGTTGCAACTACATTGGAAGACCCTGTTACAATGACAAAACAACAGGCCGCAGAGGTGGCCCAATGGGTAATTTCTTGACCCCCTCCCCAGAACTCATATAAAGAGTGGGTACCACAGCGTATAACTGTAACTCTAGTGCTGACAGGAGGGTGTGGAGCTGGATGACCAGCCAGTCTAGCTAACATGGTGAGCTTCAGGTCCACCGACTGCCTCAAGGGGGAAAAAAACCAAAAGATAAGGTGGAGGAGGAAGGACGTTGCAGTGTCAGCCTCTGGCCTCCACATGTGCCTCCACGGACAAGTGTCCACACACAAACAGTGGTGCCCAGGCTACAAACAATCAGAAAGCTGGGAGACACCTTTCAGGGGAAGAGGCTGCTGGGAGTAGGGGCAGCCTGCCAGGCCCTGGCTTCCTGTTACTGCCTCTGGGAACCTGGCGTGTTGCCCTTGGCTACAGCCAACCATGAATGTGACAGCCTGTGCCCAAGGTCAAAGACTGAGTGAAAGGTAAAGGGTTGACACCGCCCTGTCCCTTTTCGTCCCCCATAGCCATTTCCACAGTGTGTTGTGAAGTCTCCTAAAGCTGGTCGGAGGCAGCCATGCCCCAGCCCTGAACCAAGCCAGAACATGTAGGAGTTGTGATTTTTTTTTTTTTTTTTTTTGGCCCTCTTTCAATTTAATTTGATCCCGAAATGGTTTGGGTTTCAGAGTAACTGCCAGTCCTCAGAGGTCTCTCTGACAACACCTCCCAGGGCAGAGACCTCATGAGTGCTTACCTTGAAAAGCAACCCTGTGGATAGGTATTTCCACCCCAGAAAAAGAGACTTAGTGCTGGCCATGAGTTCAAGGCCAGACTAAGCTGAAGAGTGAAATTCTGTTTCAAAACAGGGCAATGGGTTGGGAGTGTTGGGGAGGTGGTTCAGTGGTTAAGAGCACTTGTTGCTCGGGGCATAATGGCGCATGCCTGTGATCTCAGAGAGGTAGAGGCAGGCAGATCTTTGTGAGTTCCAGGACAGCCTGGGCTGCACAAGAGAAACTCTGTCTCGAAAAAAACAAGACAAAAAAAAGAGCACTTGCTGCTCCTAGAGGGAACCAGGGTTTGGTTCCCAGCGCCCATGTCAGGCAGTTCATAACTGCCTGTCACTCCAGCCTACGGAATAATGACCCCCTCCGCTCAGCCCTGTGGCTGCCTGCCCTCACATGCACAGTACACAATAAAAATCAGTCTTGGCGGGAGAAAGCTGGGTATGTCGATGCACACCGTTAAACTCAGCACTCAGAAGGCAGAAGCAGGCAGACCTCTTAAGTTGAGGCCAGCCAGCCTGGTCTATACAGTGAGACCCCGCCTAAAACCAAACCAAAGCCTGGTGCTGTTGCTCAGAGAGCTTGCCTAGCATGCACAAGCCCTAGGTTTGAACCCCAGCGCTGCCTACACTAGTTGTGGTGGTGTACACACAGACACGCACACCCGCATGCGCACACAGAAATGTACAAGGGTATTGGAGCTCATGTGCAAGGCCCTGCTTTTTTCAGGCACTGAAAAGAAAAAAATAAGAGTCACGTTTACAGTGCTCAGCAACCACCTGTAGCTCGTGGTTACCGTTTTGTGCACCACAGATGTGTCCCCACCCGAGCAGGAAGCTTTCTTGAGTAAGAATGCTCCAGGAACTGGGCTGTAGTGGAGCGCTTGACTGAAATGCAGAACTCCAGGTTGAATCCTATAGCTAAAAGGAAACAAAAAAAAACAGCCAGCTTTTTAAATTCCAGAACTTGTTAGGCAGAGGCAGTCGGTCTCTGTGAGTTCCAGACCAGCCAGGGCTACATAATGGGAATCTGTCCTTTTTTTTTTTTTTTTTTTTTTTTAATTTATTTTTTAATTGTTAGTTTTTTGGGTTTTTTGTTTTTAAGGTATCTATTAGGTATACAGTGTCCCAAATGCACTTACACCTGCACTACAGCAGAGGGCACCAGATCTCATTATACATGGTCGTTAGCCACCACGTGGTTGCTCGGAACTGAACTCAGGACCTCTGGAAGAGCAGCCAGTGCTCTTAACCTCTCAACTCTCCAGCCCGGGACTCTGTCTTTAAAAACAAAAAAATCCAGCACCGGAAGTTACGCCCCTGAATCGGCATGTGCCTTGCCTGGATTACTGTAAGAGTTATCCACCCTGTGTTCCTGACCTCAGTGTCCCCCTCCTTGAGAAAAATCATCTTTGTTTCTGTTTTGTTTTGTAGTTGCTGGTGATGGTGGTGGTGGTGGCTAGACAGGCACTCAGAGACAAAAAACTACAGTTACAAAAAACTGCCTAGACCTTGCCCTTGGCAGGCAAACATTCTGAAGCTTTCATTAAAACTCCCATTTTTTTTTTTTAAACTCCAAAATACTGTTTCCTTTGATTCATGGTTTCCTGTGGGTTTCTTCTCATGGTAAGTTAGCTCCCTTTATAGCCTTAGCTAACACTGCCTGAACGCGATGTCTAATGGAAGTTCACTGTGAGAATTTCAGCAATTGATTTTTTTTATTCATTTTTTATTCTAAACAAAACATGCTGAACGTGGCCACAGCCCGTTTTCAAGGACCACTTCCTTCTGAAGCCTTTCCCCTTTCTCCAGCACAGGCTGGCCTTGGTTGGGAGGCCTCACTTCCCTGCCTGTTCCCACAAGGGAACAGGTGATTCTGAATGTTCTGGGCTTTGGGAGCAGAGCACCAACCCCACTGAGATGCACCTGTCAAGCACAGCGATGCTGTTGCCTGGACCCCTGACACCTCCTCGCCCCCACGCTCGCCCCCGAGTCCACCTGCACATGTATGCACCATGTGTGTGCCTGGTGCCAGAAGAGAGCATTGATCTCCTGGGACTGGAGTTACTGGTGGTTGTTAGCCAACATGTGGGTCCTAGGAATCAAACCTGGGTTCATTTCCTTTATTTATTTATGTATTATTTTTTGTTTTCGAGACAGAGTTTCTTGGTGTAACCACCCTGGCTGTCCTAGAATTCAATTTATAGACCAGGCTGGCCTGAAACTCACAGAGATCTGCCTGCCTGCCTCTGCTTCCCAGTGGCATCACCATGCCTGGCTGCAAATTGCCTGTCCTAAAAACTAGGTTGTAATTCCCTGAGGACAGGGACAACTTGTCTCGCACGTAGGTGTGATCTTAGCACCTGGCAACCAGCAGTAGCTGCTGTCAAATCTCAGCGCAAGCAGAGGCCTGAATTAAACTGGTGCGGTGATACACCCACGGATAAGCTCAGTACTGGGAAGGTGAACCAGGAAGGTTCAGGATAGCTTGGGCTACATGGCAAGCCACAATTAGAAAACAAAACAAACAAAGAGCAGCCAGGCATGGTGGTTTGTATCTGTAACCCGTCCTTCAGGAGGCCAGGGCAAGAGGATCACTGAACATTCAGGCCAGCCTGAACTTTGCAAGTTCATAGTTCCAAGGCAGTCCAACTACAGTGTGAGAGTTCAGTAGGCAAAGGTGCTTGCCGCCAAGTCTGATGATCTGAGTTCATTCCCCAGAACCCACGTGGTGGCAGAAAAGAACCAACCCTACATGCTGCCCTCTCACCACCACGTACGGGCTGTGGCACACAATCATGCACACACACACACATAAATGTAATGTAAACACGTTTGTTTGCTTGTTTGTTTTTGAAAACAGGGTTTCTCTGTGTAGTCTTGGCTGCCCTGGCCTCACCAGGCTGGCCTCGAACTCACAGAGATTTGCTTGCTTCTGCCTCCTAAGTGCTGAGGTTACAGGGGCCACTGCACCAGGCTTAAACACAAATTTTAATATGTAAAATGGGCCAAAGTTGTTATTTGGGGTTGAGGACAGGTAGCCCCAAAAACTGACTGACCGACAGTGCTTTGCTTTGCTCCCCAGGGGGCTGTTGTGGTTCCGACTATAAACAGTATGTGTTTGGCGGCTGGGCCTGGGCCTGGTGGTGTATCTCGGACACTCAGAGGTAAGAGTCTAGGGGCTCTGGAGTCTGTCATCCTGGTGGGCCAGAAAGAGGGGTTTCCAATGTGCCCACTCCCTTCACTACACAGCCAGGTTGTGTATCTCCCATCACACCTTCCCTCTGTAAGAGGAGGCCCCCATGGGGACAAACAGAAATGGGCTGCTCGGGGACACAGGAGGTGCACAGCAGGAAGGTCTGTCTTGTGAGTCTGTCTGAGTTGGATTTGTGTTGCTGTAATAAAACGCCATGAACAAAAGCAACTTAGAGAGGAATGGAATTATTTCGGCTTACAACTCTCAGGTCATACTCTGTCACTGAAGAGATCAGGGCAGGAACTCAAGGCAAGAACCTGGAGGCAGAACTGATGCAGAGATCACAGGGAACGGTGCTTACTGGCTTGTCTCCTGTGGCTTTCTTAACCTGTTTTCTTATGCCATCCAAGGCCACCTGCCCAGGCAACACCCGTAATGAGCTGTCCCCTCCTGCATCAATCATTAATCAAAACTTTGCAGACCAGTCTATGGAGGCATTTTCTCAGTTAAGAGCCCCTCTTTGCAGCTTTGTTCAGGCTGTGTCAAGCTGACAAAGCCAACCAGCGTAACTCTCCTACTTTCCACCCTTCACTGAGTGTGCTTTTCAACAGAAAGTGGTCCTGCCTCTGTCCCAAAGACTGCAGAGTCATACCGAGACAGAACCTTAGTTCCTGTGTTCTAGCTCAGTCACTCAGGAAGTCTTGCCAGGCTTATGTCTGCAGTCCCAGCATTCAGGAGGACTGATGTAGAGGATTGCTGTAAGCACAATGCCAGCCTAAGCTACATAGTTCCAGTCCAGGTTGGCAAATGCAGAAAGAGCCTGTCTCAAAAAGGTGTTAATCATACCAGACATGCTGGCATATGCTTGTGATCCTAAAGGTAGGAGAATCAGGGGTTCAAGGCAAGCCTCAGCTACGAAATGAGTTTGAGACCCCATCTCAAACACACACACACACACACACACACACACACAGTCTTAATTATACACTGTTTGAAAGGGGTGTTAAAAGGAAGGAAAGCTTTTAAGGGAGATTGTATGTAAGCAGAGCCTACGTGCAACCTGTACTGTGCAGACCTTGAGACGGTTCCAGCAAGGCAAGGGTCAGAGCAGATGTACAGTCAGGTGATCTGTAGCAGTTAAAGCGAGCTCTAGGGTAAGAGATTCCTCCTGGGTCCTGCCAACACAGTCAGTGTGGGAAGTTTCAGCTCCCAGCGTGCCACCGCCCAGTTCTTCCTGCTGCTGCCTCCACAGCTCAGCGCAGCGCCAGTGCAGCCTTCCTGTTACCCCAATGCCCACAACCCAGGAGCAGTTTAGCCACCATCCTGTCAGTACCCCCTTCCTCATGGTAGACTATGGGGCTGATAGCCCAAGGGGGAAGCAATAGAAATTCCACCAGAAATCCCCTCCACCCAGCTCCCACCAGTCAGCAAAGAGAGTACCATGTCTGCATGAAGTTGCTGGCACTTGAGGCTTTTGAACATACTGAGGGATGGGAAGCATGACAACTTCTGAACATCACTGATTGCCAGTAACCCCCTCCACTCTCCTGTCTTCTCCCTTCACTTTGCCTTTCCTGCCTAAGGGATCCTGAAGGACTCTTCTCTCCCAAGACCAGCAATGTCATAATCAGTCACGATTTTCACTTCAGAGAGTTCTAGGCACACCAGGCTGGATCAGCTGGCCTTCCAGAAGGCATGAGAACACCTTCCAAAGACACCCCCACACCAGGCCCAGACAGCTGGGTGTGGACAGAAACCCGTCCTGTATGGGTAGCTGTTGCTAAGGCGATGGCCCTGCATCCTTTCTCTGCATCTCGGCTCTCCCACTCCTAGTTCTTGCCCCACAGAGCAGAGCTCCAAGACAGGAAAGCTAGGCCTCCCTGACAGCAGGTAGGAAGTGAGATCTAAGGGGTTTATACCTCATCCTGGGACCAAGGCTGACCTCAAGTTCAACATGCTTCCTCTGGTGAATAGTCTTCACCTGCAGCTTTCTCCCCTTTTCTGGGGTTAGCCCTCTCTCCAGCCCCCAGGCTACTCATAGGACATCTCCGTAGCCTTTGTTTCTCTAGCCTGGCAGGAGCCTTGTGGATCAGAGCAGAGGCTTCTAGCCTAGTGTAGCAACATACTCAAGAGGCTAGATCTAGGGCTGGACAGATGGCTCAGAGGTTGAGAGCCTTATTTGCTCTTCCAGAGGTCCTGAGTTCAACTCCCAGCAACCACTTGGTGGCTCACATCCATCTATAGTGAGAACTGTTGCCCTCTTCTGGTGTGCAGGTGTGTATGCAGCAGAACACTGTATACATAATAAATTTTAAAAAAAGAGCTAGGTCTAAGATTCAGCATAGAACCAGGGTAACAAAGAGTTCTTGACTAGGCTATAGACTCTGTCTCAAAAAGGAGGGGAGGGGCCTGGAGGGTTGGCTCAGTGGAGCACCTGTTGCTCCGCAGAGAACCAAGGTTCAGTTCCAGCAGCCCCAGAGCAGCAGCCCCAGGGATTCTGACACCCTCTTCTGACCTCCTCAGGAACCAGGTGCGCACATGATGCGCGACCATACACGCAGGCAGACACTTCTACGCATAAAAGTAAATTTTAAAAATATCTAAAAAGAAAGAAGAATGGGGCCTCTGCCTCAGCCTCCCTTTGAAGAACTTTCACAGCCATGATGTGCATCACCCAGCTGTGGTGTCAGCATTCTTCCTCAAGGTTCAGTGAGTCCTGCTTTTCTTGGCTGCAGCACCCTCAGTATTGCTGAGGCCCTTATGTGAGCAGCTCTTTGTGCCTTACCTGAGCAGTTCTTCCACTTCTGGCATCTGAGCTGCAGCCTCCCTCCTTCCCTCCCTCCCTCCTTTCCTCACTTCCTTCCCTCCTCCTGCTTCCCTCTGTCCTTCCCCTGAAGAAAGCTCTAGTGGGTTCCCGTCTGAGCCAGGTCAGGTTGTGGTGAAATGGTTTAGTATTTGTTCAGCATGTGCAAGGCCCTGGGTTCCATCAGCAGCACTGAAAATAAAAATGTAAATAATGGTCTTAGGCCTAGGGGTGCCAGTGTTAAGGGATCAGGTGAAGGGAACCTTTGCACGTATGCATGGCTGGAGCCCCAGGCTGCAGCTGTGAGACGAGCCCCCCAGGGATGATGGGCAAGTTCTGAGTCGCCTGTCTGTCCCGCCCCAGCCTTCCCACCCCATCCACTTGCTTCTGCCGTTTACTCTCAGCCTCTGCTTTCCCTTCCTAGGGTTTAAGGAAGCCATTCATACTATCTACAGCCTGAACCTCTACCCTGCACATGTGCACACAGCTGGAGTGACTCATGAAGCCTACAGTCACCGTTGTCTTTTCTTTTCCTTTTCTTTTTCCTCTTTCTTTCTTTCTGCCTTCCTTCCCTCCCTCCCTCCCTCCTTCCTTCCTTCCTTCCTTCCTTCCTTCCTTCCTTCCTTCCTTCCTTCCTTCCTTCCTTCTTTCTTTTTTTATTTTTATTTATTTTTATTTTTTGGCCTGTCCTGGACTCACTTTGTAGACTAGGCTGGCCTCAAGCTCACAGAGAGCCACCTGCCTCTGCCTCCCAAGTGCTGGGATTAAAGGCATGCTCCATCACCATAGCTTGTTTTCTTACTAGTACTCTTTTCTTTGCCCATTACCAACTTTGGAATTACAAGTTCAATCACTCCATCCTCATCCATCCCTGTGAATATTCTGGCATAAGTATTTCTTTCCCAGCCTCCTTCAGTCACCCTTCCCAATCAGACATCCCAAACTCTCTTTGAGCTTTCCACGATCTAAATTGTCTTTTTAGTGACATTGACCCTAACCTTGAGGGTCCATAACCCTTTAGGATTAAGTATTTGCTATGGCTTATTAGTTCCCAGAGCGGCTACCTCATCCTAATTTCTGGGAACAGGTTTTCCTGTGTTAGGAGGGTGGAGATAAGGCTAAAGTCTCCAGATTATGGCAGGAATAACTTGGAAAAGTGACATTGTTGCAACCTGGGTGCCCTGTCACAGGCCTCTGACCTCTGGCCCTCGGCTCTGGACACTAGCAGACCTCTCCCTGAGCTCAGCAGCTCCTTCTTGGAAAAGGATGGGGACAGGATAAGAGGCTAGAATGCCTCAGGCCAGCCAAGGGGGTGCCTGTGTTCTCCTGCAGCCTTGACTGAGCTGGCCTGGGGGGAGGGGGACCGAGAGCAGCGCACGCACCGTGCCCCATGTGTCAGGCGTCAGTGCATATCTGGTAACCACTCTGTGTGTTTACTGTGTCCCTTCCTACCCCTCCTGTCCCTGCCTTTCCCTGTCCCCTGGCTGCTCCTCAGACTGTCTCTGGAGGTTATGACCATCCTGTGTCGCTGTGAGAATATTGAGACGTCGGAGGGGGTCCCGCTATTCGTAACAGGGGTTGCACAGGTAATAACTCACCTGCTTCCTCCTCTGTGTCTAACTTTCTCTTCCTGCGCTGCGGGGCCTGGCAGGCAGAAGCTGGACGGACCCTCCTGAGAGTGTGCCTCCCTCCCTGCTCTTCTCTCTGCTGCTCTGGGCACCAGGGTAGATTCCGGTAGATCCTCGGGTCCCTTGCCTTCCCCTAAGACTACGGGTAGAGAACACTGGAGATTCTGGAAGTTCTGCCAGCTCACCCACTGGGTATCAGGCAGCCACAGCGGCCGGATGGGTTCTTAGCTAGAGTGCTGAGCTACCTGAGAGCTCTGTCAGGTGCAGCTTCCCATCTCCCTCCCTTTATGTGCTGGCTCTCGGTATCAGAGACCGCTACCAGCTGTCACTAGTAGCTCCCGGGCTGGAGAGGTTGAAACAGTACCCTGCCCTTCTTTTTCCTCAACACCACGTTGCTGGGCAGCCTTCTCAGGCCAAAATCTAGCATTCCCGCTCCCTTCTTTATGCATCCCACCAGCTCTCGTAAGGAATGACAACCTCATCCATTAGCCTTTGCACAGATAGAAAGGCAGGCTTTGGTACAGAGGCCCAAGAAGCCCAGAATACCTTGAGTGGCACAAGTATGTCCAGGCTTCCATCAGCAGCCACAGCTCCTCCTTCATACCTGAGTCCTCTGGCAACGTGCAGGAACCTGTTAAGCGTAGATAAATGAAGACATGGGGAGTCAGACTGTCGGGCACAACAGCAGTTTCTGGAAGTAATGCTCTAGTGCATTTCCCATGTGACATGCCTAGGCCCAACACCAATAGGGCATCCATCAGGTCATAGCCCTTGGTAAGGGAGAGGGATCGAGACAGCTTCCCTGGCAAGGGGCAAAGGTAGAGTCAGTGTGCCAGCGCAATCAAAAGAGCTTTGTAGATAGCCTTCTCAGGCATACTGGGGTCCTGAGTAGACCCAGGGAGTAAGTAGGGACCCAGGGCCCCGGGGCAACATTCGGAAACACCCATGCACAGCCTTCTCGACAGTCTGGAGTCCCAATACCTGCTTTCTGTCCTGGAACACACATATTGCTATAGCCTAGGCTTGCCTTGTCCCCGTCAACCCCAGGGCACCACAGCCACTTTTGATTCTCCTCAAAGTTCCAGTCAGGATGACGAACAGAAAACATATGTACACACGTCACCCACTCACCTTCTTCCCCTGGAGCCAGATGCTCCCGCCCTGTGCTCCCTCCACGATCTTTGCGCACACAGCCAGCTACATACCTCTGAAGACTCCTCTTTACAGGGACCCTTGGTCCGTCCCAGCTGGAGCAGTGAGGAACTAGACTCTTTCACACCCAAGCCCTGGGCCCCCAGACCCATGCCCATGTTTTGCATTTCTTGGCAGGATTTCCCTAGAGATTATGACGTTGCAGCCCCGCTGTGAGGACGTAGAGACGGCCGAGGGGGTAGCTTTAACTGTGACGGGTGTCGCCCAGGTATAGTAACTCAGCAGCCCCACGCATGTCCATTGAGGTGCCTCGTCCCCGTGCTGGGGTTTGGGGGGAGGAGAGGACACCAGCCAGGGCTTGTCTCTCTCCAGAACTCCTGTCACCTCGTCACCTCTACAACAGGATCATCATCATTGGAACTTGCCCCCTTGACCACCCAGCAGAACTAACAGACACTTTCTCTCCTCAGTGGCCCTCTCAAGCCCTCAAGACCAGTGTTGAGGGCTCCTGTCTCACTAACCCACCCTCCTTTTTTACAGGCATTGGACACAACAGACCCCAGGGTTCAGGGCTTCTTTGTTCCCTGGGTGGCCTAGATTCTGTGAGGCAGAGCCTATCTGGCCTCCTCTTAGGCATTCTAGGAGTCAGAGACGGAAGCTTCCCCACCTCAGCTGGGGTCTGGGAGGGGGGTCCCACCCAAAGCCACTCAACTTGACAGGATAGTGAGGTTCTCTGCTTGTTAATGTCTCTGGCAAGGGAGTTGCCAGAACACCTGGGAGGCAAAGACCCTGTCAGCTATAGCCTAAGGACCTGTCTCTTGCCCTGTCTAGGCTCTTTCCAACTCCATTTACCTGTCTGTTCCTGTTGCTGGTTCTCCTGTTACTCACTGCCCCTTAGCCCGAGGGTCTCCTGCCGACAGGAAGCTGCTGACAGAGAGCTGGCCAGTGTGGGAACGGAGGGCTGGAGGGATGGGAAGATGAGCCCCAAAAGCGTGGGAGAGAGGCCAGATCAAGACCCGGGACCACGCAGGGAGACAGAATTCTTGGTATAAGAGTCCTTGTGCAGTCCCAGGGCTCGGCCTCTCAGGGCCGGGCCTCCACCTGCCTCCAGCCGGCTCAGCTGTGTCTGCGTGCTCGGCAGGTGAAGATCATGACGGAGAAGGAGCTCCTGGCCGTGGCCTGTGAACAGTTCCTAGGCAAGCACGTGCAGGACATTAAGAACGTCGTCCTCCAGACCCTAGAGGGCCACCTCCGCTCCATCCTCGGTGAGGCCCCTGCCCAGCCTCTGAGCCAGGGCCGGGAACACGCGCATGGCTGGCCCGGGACCTGGCCCGCTGAGGTTTGAGCGAGAACATTTTCTGAGTTTTTCATTGCAAAGCTCAAGGTGGACTGAAACCGCAGTTCAGTGGTGAAGCTTAGCATGCGAAAGGCCCTGGGTTTGAGCCCCAGCACTGGGGGTGGAGAGGAGGATAGGCTTGGGGAAACAGTTTCATTGATAAAATGCTGCGAGGACCTGAGAACCCAGAACTCAAGTTTTTTAAAAAAGCCACCACATGCTGGAGTGCTGGAGTTCTCCTTCAATCCCAGCACTCAGGAGGCAGAGGCAGGCAAATCTCTGAGTCTGAGGCCAGCCTGGGCTACAGAGGGAGTTCCAGGACAGCCAAGGCTACACAGAGAAACCCTGTCTCAGGGGGGGTGGGGGGAGAAAAAGCCACAATAAGATAACCTGTCTCAAAAACAAGTTGTACTGTACTTGAGGAATGATACTTAAGGTTGACCCCTTGCCTTTCAGGCACCTGTACACTGCCTGTGCACCTACACATACAAACACACACAAAATAATACTAATAAACATTTAGAAGCTGGAGAGATGGCTCCAGAGGACCCAGGTTCAATTCCCAGCATCCACATGGTAGCTCACAACTGTCTGTAACTCCAGTTCCAGGGGATCTGACACCCTTACATAGACATAAATGCAGGTAATACATCAATGAACATAAAATTTAAATTAAACGCACTATATATATATTTAATTTTTTTGGTTTTTCAAGACCCGGTTTCTCTGTGTAGCGTTGCCTGTCCTGGACTTGCTTTGTTGACCAGGCTGGCCTCAGACTCACAAAGATCCACCTGCCTCTGCCTCCCCAGTGCTGGGAATTTTTTTAAAGAATTTTCTTTAATGGGCATGTTTAAAGGAAGAGGAGGCCATTGAAGTGGCAGATGACAGACTGCTCAGATACCTGGTACTGCTTGGGACATGCTTGTCCACTCAGGACAAGGAAGCTCATTCTAAACACGGGAGAAGGAAGCCCAGGCAGCTGCAGCTCAGAGCACTTGGCCCTTGCACACAGCCAGGCCTGGCCTCATGCTCCCTCCCTTTCTCAGCTGGCCTCTGGACACTGGCTCATGACCCTCTGCCTCCTAGGGACGCTCACTGTGGAGCAGATTTATCAGGACCGAGACCAGTTTGCCAAGCTGGTGCGGGAAGTGGCAGCCCCTGACGTTGGCCGGATGGGCATCGAAATCCTCAGCTTCACCATCAAGGTAAGGTGTAGGAGGAAGGCTGGACCCTTGTGTCCATCCGGGCGGTGGGGCCCAGCAGGAAGGACATCCTCTGTACTTAGGGCTTCTCCGTGGGACAGCCGTGCCCCTTCCTTCCCTAGGACGTTTATGACAAAGTAGACTATCTGAGCTCCCTGGGCAAGACACAGACTGCCGTGGTGCAGAGAGATGCAGACATTGGAGTGGCAGAGGCAGAACGGGACGCCGGCATCCGGGTACGCAGGAGTTCTTTTTCAGGCCTCAGGACGGAGGGCTCAGGGTTGATGGGCCTGTGGGCCCTCAGTTAATCCTCAACACTACCCTTGCTGCTCCCAGGAAGCTGAGTGCAAAAAGGAAATGCTAGATGTGAAGTTCATGGCAGACACCAAGATTGCTGACTCTAAGAGAGCCTTTGAGCTGCAGAAGTCAGCCTTCAGTGAGGAGGTCAACATCAAGGTGAGACGCCAGAGGTCCCCCGGAGAGGACTCGGGGTATGTCGCCACCCTCTCACGTGCTAATCCTCCTGCTGCAGACGGCTGAGGCCCAGCTGGCCTATGAGCTGCAAGGGGCCCGAGAGCAGCAGAAGATCCGACAGGAAGAGGTCGAGATTGAGGTGGTGCAGCGCAAGAAGCAGATCGCCGTGGAGGCACAGGAGATCCTCCGCACAGACAAGGAGCTCATCGCCACCGTGCGCCGCCCGGCAGAGGCAGAGGCCCACCGCATCCAGCAGATTGCTGAGGGCGAGAAGTGAGAGCTTGGGCCCAGCAGGCTGATCAGGCTGCCCTGCCGTCAGCGCTTTCCACTCTCCTGCCCCCTTGTCCAAGTCTGTTCCTTTCTGTGAAGCAGATAAGCTCCCAGGCCTGGTGTCTGGAAGACTCAGTAAGAGTCTAGCGGTGCCTGGGATAGTGCTTAGCTTAGAGGGCCTCCTAGTTGGACGCCTCCCACTTGCAGTTAGGAGCTAGTGGCTTGTGTTCCACAAGAGCTCACAGGACAGGGCATCACCTTCAAATGTCTCCCATCCTTAACAACCAAGAACAGAGAGGTGGAGGGCGTGCTGGGCCCCAAGTAAGAGTCAAGGGCCCCGCATCCCTTAGCTGCTCTGCATGGCCTTGCTTTCCTCAGGGTGAAGCAAGTACTCTTGGCACAAGCAGAAGCTGAGAAGATTCGCAAAATCGGCGAGGCAGAGGCAGCAGTAATTGAGGCAATGGGCAAGGCAGAGGCTGAGCGGATGAAGCTTAAGGCTGAGGCCTACCAGAAGTATGGTGATGCAGCCAAGATGGCCTTGGTGCTGGAGGCCCTGCCCCAGGTGAGCTTCCTTCTCACCCAAGCTTCACTCAAGAGTTTCTTGACTGATGGGCAAGTGCCAGGATTTCTCTGGCCCCAGTCCATAACCTCCACACTCAGCTGGAGGATGATGAAAACACTCGGCAGGCCGGACCGCTCCAGCAGGCCCAGGCCGTCCTCGACCTCTGCAGCTGTTCCTTGCTGCGTAGGTTGCTTTGGGTGTGGGAGACCTGGAGAGGAGAAGTGTGGATGGACGGGTGTGCAGGGTAAGCACTCTCACTAAACTCCAAACACCCCCCTCCTAGATTGCTGCCAAAATCTCCGCCCCCCTGACCAAAGTTGACGAGATTGTGGTTCTCAGCGGGGACAACAGCAAGGTGACGTCAGAAGTGAACCGGCTGCTAGCAGAACTGCCTGCCTCTGTGCACGCCCTCACTGGTGTGGACCTTTCAAAGGTGTGTGGGAATCCCCAGGCAGCCCACTGGCCTGACAGGCAGGTGGTCCCAGGGCAGCAGCCCTCACACCCGTCTTTCATCCTTGCAGATACCCCTGATCAAGAATGCCACCGGTGCGCAGGTCTGAGGCTCCTGTAGACTCATGCCCCTCAGCAGCTGCCTGCCCTTCCAGCACCTGTTTTAACATCACAGGGACAATGAGAACGTCACCGACTCTGGTGCCTTATTTTGTAGGGACCAGAAGTGCTGCGTGCGTGTTGAGGCCATCTCTGGCTGTTTTCCCTTCCCGCCTGTCTGCCTTTTCTTCCTTTCTCTTCCACACCCTCACATTAACTGCCACATTCATCTAGTCTGTCTCCTTGTCTGCCATATGTGCCTCTTCCTCTATCTGGTTCTCTCCCCCTTTCTTCCCACCTCCACACACACCAGATAGTTTAAGTGAAGTTAAAGTTGTGATAATCACTGTCTGTCTGTGAGGAGTGGCCCTACTGCCCCTCAGCATCCTGGTGCCTTCAAATTCTACATGGATCTGTCGCTCTTCCCTGGCCCTGGCAGAGCCCAGCATGGGGACAAGGGTTCTGGGTAGGACACCCACTTTCCTCCTTCCTGGTCCGAACTTCCTAGCCCTGTTCCAGGAAGCCCATAACCCACACACTCTTGTCCTTTGAGGTCTGAGTGGCCATGGTCTATTGGCCCTAGAGTAATACCCTTCACACACACGCATACACACACACACACACACACACACACACACACACACACACGAGTCCCAGGCCTGCTGTTATACCTGCCCCTCTCTCCTGCACCCCAGAGGCACAGAGGCAAGGCCTCTTGTCTATAGCAGCTTCCTTGGTTTACCACTGCCTCAGGAGGCCCTGCTCATCATGCTCAGGGACATTGTCCTTGATTGGTTGGGTGGGTTGTGGTTTGATTTTACTAAATCTTTCTGGGGTCAATGTCTAGCTCTGTTGGGGACAGGAAAGTTTGTAGACTGTCTTCCTGCTAGTGCTGTGCTTTCCTGGGCATGGGGCTCTCCCAGGGGGCAAGGCTGTGCCAACCCTAAGAGAATCAAGTGCTGTAGACTGGCCAAACCTCACTTCCTCTGTGCCATTTTCTTGGCCAGCATGATGGGGGTCTAGCCATGGGAAGCAGCTAAATCTTCTGTACCTTTGCACCACTGGTACCAGAAGAACCCAACGCCCGAGAACCCTCATATGGGTGCAGTGGTGTCCCATGGTTCCAGCCCCCAGCCCTGGCCCTGCCCCAGCCTGTGTAGTTGTTCTGCATGTGAATGCTGCATGTCTGGTCTGGGGTTTGGATGTTGCACTGCCCCACTGCCTGTCCCCCTCTGTAAAAATAAAGATCTATTATGCCCACACCTTTCATTATATATTCTCTGAGGAGAGAAAGTCAGAATCAAGAAAGAACCGGGGCCCCTACACAAAGGCTTGAGCATCAGGGCTGCTCTTTCCCACCCTAGCCACTGGGAGGCATCAGCACACTGGCCTTGGCACTGAGGAGGCCAGTGACAGGTCCTGTGCCAGCCCTGCTGAGCAGTGGGGCCCAATTCTCAGGCTTAAGTGCGTGCGCTCTGGCAGGACTGCTTGACTTTTAACTAAATTTTAGTTCTGTTGTTGGTAAATAACTGAATCTTCCAGGTTTTTTGCTTTAAGACAGGGTTTCATGTAGCCCAGACTCGTCTCAAATTTGCTATGTAGTCTGGTCTAGCCTTGAGCTCCATGTCCTCCTGCCTTCACCTTCCTAGTGCTGGGATTATAAGCATATGCCATCACGTCTAGCAAAATTGCTTAACATAGAAACAAGCGATTGGGGCTGGGGAGAGGGTTCAGGGCTATGAGCACGTGCTGTGCAATCATGGTAGCCATACACCGCTGTAGCCAGTGTAGAGTGGGGCGCAGATAGGATGCTGCCAGCCAGCCCAGCCAAGAAAAGGGAAGTTCCAGCTTCAGGGAGGGAAGCTCCCTCAATGTAACAAGGCGGAGCAGTAAAGGGTGCGTGTACCTCCACGCCTGTCACACATGCACGCATACATGCGCACACCTGCACAGCACACATGGGCTGGTGAGGTGGTTCAGTTGTTGAGGTGGTTCAAACCTGAGGTTTGGTTTGGTTTGGTTTGGTTTTTTTCAAGACAGGGTTTCTCTGTGTAGCCTTGGCTGTCCTGGACTCACTTTGTAGACCAGTCTGTCGTCAGACTCACAAAGATCTGCCTGCCTCAGCCTCCCAGAGTGCTGGGATTACTGGGGTGCGCCACTGCGCCCAGCTGGACTGCCAGAGTTTTAATCCCAGGGACCTCCATAAAGATGAAGGGAGAACACCTTTAATCCTGGCCCTCAGGACGCAGGGGCATGTGGGTCTCTGCGAGTTCAAGGCCAGCCTGGTCTACAAGGTGAGTTCCGGGACAGCCAGAGCCACACAGAGAAACCCTGTCTCAACCAAAATAAATAAATGTGAAAGTAGAGAGTTGACTCCACAAAGTTGTTCTCTGTCCCCCACAGACACTACTGCATATGTGTACCTTCCTCTACACATCATATACACAAATCTAATGAATAATTTCTTTTTTACAAAATCGAAGCCATACCAGGTGTGCTGGCACAGACTTCAACCCCAGCAGTCTGGAAGCCAGCACATGGATCTCTGAATTCAAAGCTGGCCTGGTCTTTGTAGCAAGTTCAGGTCAGCCAGGGCTACATAATGAGATCCTGCCCCAAAACAAACAAACACAAACACGGGCTTACGTAAAGGTGGGAAGATTAAGAGTTCAAGGTCATAACCAGCTACATAGCCAGCCAGAGGGAGCTACAAGAAATCCAGTCTGGAAGGAAGAAAAGTTGAGCCTGTAATCTCAGTAGTCATGAGGGAGAGCACAGAACTTCTTCACAAGTTCAAAACCAGACTCAGCTACAGAGTTAGACCCAGGTCTTAAAAAATAATAATAAACCAAAAATTGATGAATTAGACCACCAAAGCAACTTCAGTCATCTCGAGAAACTTAGGAGCCCACTGGTGGTGGTTCACGCCTTTAATCCCAGCACCTGGGAGGCAGAGGTAGGAAAATTTCTGTGAGTTTAAGGACAGCCTGGTCCTCGAGAGTTGTTACACCAATAAACTATCAAAAAAAAGTAAAGAGAATCAGATGTCTCCTGACCTCCATGGGCACCAGACATGCATGCAGGACACAGACATACATGCAAGCAAAACACTCATACATCCAAAAATATATCTACAAATACAAGGCGTATAGACTCCAGAATTATCACACCTATACCCAACAGCGTGAAGCCCATCTACACCAGTGCATTGAACATACCTGACATCACAGGCCTGAGGAGACACTAGAGGGCCAATGTAAGTCCAGGGGCAGCCTGGGCCAAGATGCCTTGCATGCACAGTGCCCTGGGCATTCATAAGCCTCACGTGAGCAATGGTGCAGGCACCACTTAACAATCCCAGCACTTGGGAGGTAAAGGTCTGATCACTACTTCAGGGTCATTATCAGCTACATGTTAAGTTGAGGCCAGTCCTGGGATAAATGAGACCCTGTCTCAAAATGAAAGAAGGAGATGGAGGAAGGATAAACTTTAGTGACAGTGATTGCCTAGTATGTCCCAACCATTCCAGCCCAGAAGAGAAAAGTGAACGCTTAAATCAATTATAACTTAATAAAATAATTTTTGGTCTTAAAAAGAAAAAAAGGTTTCATGTAATTCCTAAGACAATAATCCTCCTTGGCATCCAGAAAATTTACTTTTTTTTAATAATAAAGGAGGTAAAATATAACTCAGTGTACAAATCCACACAACTGATTGATGTGTTTTGGGTAAATGTTTTTCCACTATTAATAAAAATGTATCCTACATACAAAATATAAGAAGCAAGTGACAGGCACGGCCGCACACAGAATGGCCAATAGATAAATGAAAATGTACGTGGCAGATTGTATTTCCCAAAGATAGTGGCAATAATATCCTCTTCCCCACATGCTCTTTTTAGTGTGGCTTTGACATCCTTCCAACTAGAGATAGCACCCATGCCTCCTTCCCTTCAAAGTGGTTGGGTGGTTCTCACTATTTAGGTCACTGGAGTGTGGCAGAAGAGATACTCTTAAGACATGTCATACAAGATGACATAACTTGCTTTATTTCCTATATTCTCTTGTGTTTGTTTTTATTTTGTTGAGACAAGGTCTCAAAATAGTCCAGGATGACCTTGAACTCATGTTGCCAAGGCCTTGAACTACTGGTCTTGCCTCTCCCTCCACAGTTTTGGGATTTACAATGGTGTGCCAAAAAGATCAACCTGAGCACCCTTTAAGGCAGTGTGAGAGCAGCACTGGGTTAAGGTCCTTGTTCCATGACAAGGTCTAAGCAGAGAGATCAAGAGATGTGCCCGGAGCCAGGTTCCAGCTGCTCCAGCCCTCCCTGGACTGCAGCTACATGAGACGCACCCAAACAGACTGTGAAGCCAAACTTCTAAGATACAGACTCAGAGTTCAAGAGAGGCCATCAAGAGCTGTCCATTATTTAAAGCTTTTAATTTGAAAGACTGAAGAGACACGTTAGTGGCACAGCATTTGCCAAGAATGCAAAAAGACTTACAGTTCATTTCCCAGTAAGGGAGAGAGAGGGGAGACCCAGCCAGCTAGTGTATACCAAAACCCAGCACTTGGAAGAAGAAGCAGAAGGATAAGGAGCTCAAGGCCCTACTCAGCTATTACATGACATCCTATCAGAGAAACAGAAGGGGTGGAGTGGTAGAACGCTTTGCTTAGCTGAATAAGACCCCATGTTCACTCCCCCACGCCACAGAAAGACAGACAGACTTGCATAGAGGAACAAACTCCCAGCACTCAGGAGGCAGAGGCAGGTGGATCTCTGTGAGTTTGAGGCCAGCCTGGTCTACAAAGTGAGTCCAGGACAGCCAGATCTATACAGCGAAACCCTGTCTCAAAAAAACCAATAAATAAATAACTAGAAAATAGAAAAGAAAAAGAAAGAAAAAGAAATGAAGTGGGGAACAGCCACACAATCATTTTACAGATCTACTTAATAGAATCACCAAGATATGCATATATGTAATGAAATAACAAGCCTATCAATATTGTGATTAAAGATGCCTAAATTTAGCTGGGCAGTGGTGTGCACCTTTAATCCCAGCACTTGGGAGGCAGAGGCAGGCAGATCTCTGAATCTGAGGCTCCAGGACAGACTGAGTTCCAGGACAGTCAGAGCTACACAGAGAGACCCTGTCTCAAAAACGTAGATGATAAATGATAGAGAGAGAGAGAGAGAGAGAGAGAGAGAGAGAGAGAGAGATGTGCCTAAATTCAAACTATCCGACATGTTAACTATAAAAATGGAAACATGTAGCCAGGCTGTGGTGGTACACACCTTTAGACCCAGCGCTCAGGAGGCAGAGGCAGGGGATCTCTGAGTTGGAGGCCAGCCTGGCCTACAGAGCAAGTTCCAGGACAGCCAGGGCTACACAGAGAAACCCTGTCTCAGAAATAAATAAACAGACAGACAAACTACCAGCTAAGCCTGGTGGTGCTAACCTCCAATATCCATACTTTTCGGAAAGAATGATCAAGGAGTTCAAGGTCATGCTCTGCTACACAAAAAGTTCAAGTCCTTGAGACCCTATCCCAAAGAAGAAAATGAAAGAAGGAAAAAACAAAAGAGGCTGGGGAGTTGGCTCAGTGGATATGAGTGCCTGCTGTGCAACAGGGGCTGAGTGTGAATTCGCAGTAACCTCAGAAAAAGTCTATGTGGGCCGGGCAAGGTAGTGCACACTTTAGTCCCAGCACTCTGGGAGGGAGAGGCAGGCGGATTTCTGTGAGTTCGATGCCAGCCTGGTCTACAGAGTGAATCTAGACAGCTACAAGGCTACACAGAAAAACAAAACAAAAACAACAAAACAAAACTTGTGAGGAAACTTGCCTGTAACCCCAGCCCTGGGAGTTTGGTGGAGAAAGGGGCGGTTGCTGGAGCTTGTTGGTCTTCAGCCTAGCACCCAGTTATATGAGAAACCCTGTCTCAAGGGACTGAGGCAGGAGGGTAGAGCAGGACTCCCAGTACCTTCCCCTGGCCTACGTGGCCGAGTGCACCCCAATGTTTGCATATAGCATCTAACACACAGACACACAGACACACACACACACACACATACAAGTACATACACACCTCAAAAGATTTGTTGTTTTTTTTAGCTGGGCTTTCACTGTCACTCTGGCTAGCCTGGAACTCACTATGTAGACCAGACTGACCTCTGTCTCCTAAGTACTGAGATTAACACCCAGCTCAAAAAAAAATTTTTTAAAGCAACTATAAAAAGAAAAAATATCTGTTTGTCTTT